GAACTCCTGGAGGGGAAACGGGGATTAAATAAAAGACATAGGAGAGACAAAAGAGAGACGAAAGCAAGACGAAATAATCCGATCAAGCTTCCGGTTTATTCAGAAAATAATCACACCTTTTATAGGCTAAGGGCGGGAGCTGGGACAGGAAGAGGTTAAACAGATGAATACAACAGGGTCACCATCACATCCGGATACGTGACGTAAGCAGGAGAGGATTATGGTTAATGTAGGCAGACGCAGTGCCCATAGGAGAGAGGGAGACATCGAGGCAGCAATGCCTGTCACTCGGCTCCCTACAGTTCTTGAGTGCCTCACGAATTTTCTTCACTCACTGATCTAACCTCACACAACCCCTCTTCAACTCAGGACTGAACATCTCATGTATGGACAGAAATGATCAGGTGTAGTGGGACCCTGAAAGTCACCCTCTCATCCTGTACCCCACCTCATCTCCCAGTGTCCTCATGATACAGATCAGTAGCAGCCCAAGGAGCTGAAGAGGGAGCCTCATTTTGAGAAGCTGAACTGAAGAGTCCTGCTCAGACAAGGCCACCTTAGAGCCAGCTTTGATCTGAGGCTAGCTTGGGAAGGTCCTCCTTGGGGACAAAATGCAAATTCCCTGTTGGGTGCAGTTGTGCAGAAAGAGTGCAGAGCATAGAGAGAGGCTTTTCATGTGAGCCCAGTGGTATAAAATACCCTCTGCATTTGGGGAATATAATAGAGCTACTTTCCATGCCGTGAGCAGTAGTGGGTACAAGGATCCCTGGGAAAATCTGATTCTGCAGGAGGGGCACAGTGCTCAGAGCTGTGCCCATTCCACATAGGACTGCAGTCCCCAGGATAGGGGTGTGCAGGTCAGTCTCTGGGAGGGGACGTCTCATGCCTCTTCGCCTCCTGGAAGAGGAAGAAGCAAGTCTCACTTCATGAGGACTCAGTTTTAGCTTTTTCTAGCATTAAAAGCATGCAGCAGTGTTGAGAAGCCTTTTGTTGTAACCAGTGGGACTTTGATCATCTTAGAAGCAAGAATTACAAATAATCTTTTCCTTGACTTAGAAATTAAATGTCATAGGAGCACTGAAATCAAAAGAATATGATACAGAGAAAAATATCTGTCTTCAAGTTGGGGACCAGTAACTCTGTTAAGGGCAAGAGATAGACGAAAATTATGCCTTATACAGTGGATGTGAAATTCCTTGTGACTAGATTTTCAAATTGGTAAATATCTGTTTAAGCTTGTTATCATGCAGATACATACACACACACACACACACACACACACACACACACAAACACACACACACCACTCCAGTTTTATGTTTTAGGCAAAGATTTTTCTTGGTTTTATACAAAATAAGTGAGAAATAATTGACACGTCTGAATGATCATAATGCAACCTTTTCTTAGCTACTCTGTTTTAATTGATGTTGAACAGCCGCAGTCCACAGTTTAAAGAGACATTCTCAACATCAGAATGTCACCATTGAATCCAGGGTTTTAATGCCTCAGGGTAATTTGAACCAGTGGCTGCCATGGTCCTGGAGTTTATCTGAGATGGGAGAGAGTAAAGCCATGCTGTCCTTAATCTATAAGTTTGTGTTATTTTTTATGGCAGCCCAAAGCTGCAGTGTGCCTCTCACACATTTGGGAAATAATGTTTGGGGTAAACTTAGTAAATAAGGGTGCTACATTGTCTGCTTTTATTGTAATAAGACCCCTAGGAATGTAGTTATCAACCTGTGTGTTTGTGTGTATGTGTGTGTGTGTGTGTGTGTGTGTGTGTGTTGGAGCTTACAGCTAGGAGATTCACACTGAGCTACATCTCCAGTCCTTTGTATTTCTCTGATTTTGTGACTGTTCTCACTGTGTTGTTCAGCTGCCCAGTTTCAGCTCCACCTGTCCATCCTCCTGCCTCAGCCTCACTGTGTTTGGTTGACTGTTGTTCACTATCTTGGGTGACTTTGTCTTCTGAATGTGTGGGCTCTTTCCAAACAGTCTGAGCAGTTGAAAACATCACTTGTTGCACTTGTCTGGGCTCCTAAGGCCCTGTTCCTCATCTGTCTCACAAGAATCAGTAGTAAATGAAATGAAAGAAAATAAATTTCAGCTCATTGGAGCAGTCACATGACAAAGTTCTAAAGCTTAAGACGAATGAGGTGGAGAGCATGAATTGTTAGCATCAGACTTTGACAATTGTTTCAGCTTTCGTATTCTTGTCCTTGGAAATAAGGAAGCTTTAAAAATCACATGCAGTTTGGCCGTGTTCTGTGGAAGTGAACCAGCATCTTAGGTGAGACTCATATCAGATTTTAAGAATTTATTTTAATATTTAATAACTAAGAATATAATTATGGCAATAGTGTTCTGAAAGCAAAATTAAAGGTAAAGTTACACTGATTAACTCAGTTAATAAACCACAAATCGAGTTCTGAATGTTTTTAGCTTATTATGAGGGTGATTTGAGTGATTTTACAATGTGTATAAAATGTATTGGGATGTCAGTTTTACACAGCTCATTAATGCTTTATTTTCCTTTAGTTTTCTTTACTTCTTAAATGATATCATGTTTATAATTTATTTCCTCACTATCCTCTCATAAGTTCCAAATCAGTAGCATTGAAAGAGCCCATTGTTGTCTGACATTTTCAGTGATACTTAGTTTTTCTATTTGAGTTTTAGTACCTAGCGTGTCTGACTGTAATCTATGGCTCTTTACCTAGGAACTGTGAGCATTCTTGAGGATTTTGCAAGGCTGTATCTTCCTCCAGGCAGGGTTTCATTTGGGCACCTCATCCACCACTTTCAAAGTTAAAAATTCGCAATTCTTCTGAAGCAGACATTGTTGAAATACAGATATTCGGCTGTATTGATCTGCACTCATGACTTTAAAAGATATCTTGTCTTTTAAAAAAATCTACTTATTCCCCAGTGTACTTAGAGCCCTCTTTTCGCTTCACAGCAGCTGTGGGAAGGGTCATTTCTACTGTCCCTTTGCTGTTCACTTCACTCACAGAGAGCCCTTGTGAGCCTGCTTAGTTTAGGGCCCAGGAGTCTGCACAGAGTGAGTTCTGGCCCAGGATTCTGGTGCTTGGCCCATGCCCAGGGCGGGACTGGAGCTCCTGTTTGCTGTGCTCTTCAGGACTTTCTGGATGAAAGTGACGGCAGCTCAGGCAGGCTTGGTGACAAACAATAAAACTGGATCCCAAATTTTTCCCTTTCTTTTGTCTTTGGTTTTTTCTCTCCCCTCTCCTGCCTCTTCCTCCCTGCTTTCCTTTTTTGCTTCATTCCTCCTGGAGCCTGGCCTGGTTTGTGGACAACCCAATGCAAATAGGTGTTTCCATCACTCTGCAGGAGGCTCTGACTGGACTTGCAGGAGATGGAGGCCAGCTCTCCAGGTGTGATAGACAGAGAGAGTGGGGTCTGGGACAACAAAACATCTCCTGTGGATCCTAAAAGTATAAAGGAGAAATGCAATATCACATACAAACATGATACGTTTTTAATCTTTTCTAGAGTGTCCTTCAGAACATCCTGAGTTCTAACTCTGTGATCATGTATTTCATCAGTTGTTGTTTGTCAAGGAAGTATCTTATTTCCCCATTAATTTTGAAAGATAGTTTTTTAGAGACTATTAGCTTGGAATGAAAATTTTGGGGGTGAGCTGCTTGATGTCCTTCACTCCAAGGTGCCCTAGATTTGAGGATTTGTGTCGAGAAGTCAGTTGTGATTATGATGGGTTTCCTGTATAGGTACTTTTTCCTTTTCCCTGGTAGTTTTTCAGATTGTATTCTTGAACTGAATTTCTTGAATCCTGACCCTCTTGTGCCTTGCTGTAGATTTGTTGGTCATAACTAGAGTTCTATATGGCTGACTCATACATACGCCATATTCTTTTTCCTTCGCAGGAAAGTTTTCTGTCATGGTGTCTCTGAGCAGTCATTTTTGTTATTTATGCTATCTCCTGCTTATCCCACTAACTGTAATCATTCTTATTTTGTTCTTCTTCACATGATACAGCAGCATCTGGATTGGCTTATTCTGCTGCTTACACTTTCAATGGCAGTTTCAATCTCCTGAATATCTCCTTGAATCTCTTTTATGAATTCCATTATATATCTATGTTGGTCTTTATGGCTTCTCTCATTTTCCTAAGTTCCTCCATTTTAAATCTGTATCTGCTGTGGGGTAACTAGGGATGTTTTTCATTATGGTCACTATATGTGGGTTATCTGTGAATTTATTTCTGATTTGATTTGATCTAGATTCTTGTTGATTTGCTTTGTTGTTACCACTTCAGACAGTCAAGAGAGGTGGCTTTTGCATGTTCCCACCCCATTTCCCCCTTGGCTTGCCTTTGTTTCACTGATTATCTGGAGTTGCACCTTGTGGAATTGTCTTCTCACTGTCTATTTTTATTTTTCTCAGCTTAATTCTTGGGTTGATGCTTATAAATCACCTATGGTGGAAATCCTGACTGCTATTATTTAGAACCTTTAGGAAATGACTACTCAGAAGTGTCTTCTAGGTGTAGACAGCTTTTGCATTGTGAGTGTGTTGTAAGATCCTGCTATTCAATTAATGAGGTTAGTAGTTTCTGCCTACTTGACCCATTTCCTGGTCCCTTGACACTGGTCCACAATGTTTTCAGTGCCCCTTATGCAATATCAGCCCTGGTTTTCCAGGCAGAACAGCTGGTTAGCACAATTATGTCACCTTGGCTAAAGTGGTATATTCACAATTTACAGTAGTGTCAGACAAAGCCTAGCAAAATGTCAACTTGAGGTAACCACAAACTTGTCACCTTTACTTGTGTGAGCTTGATTTTTGGCTATATTACAAAACCATTTTTGTGTGTTTGTGTGTCTGTGTGTCTGTTTTTCCTTTTTATCAGTACCACGGATCAAACTGACGACTGCTTGCTTGCAAGGCAGGCGCTTACACCGCTGAGCTAAATTCCCAGCACCTTATATTACAAAATCTTAAACGAATAGAAAAATGTATGCAGTGTATAAACTCTAAATATATTAATGTAAATTTCAGAGGAGAAAATGTAAGAGCAGTTAGTAGAAAAAATAGAGAAACAGATGGAAAGGAAGAGATTAGAAGCAGGGCTGGTAGACAAAGGAGAATCACTCCAATTTTCAGAACGTGGTGCAAAAGATAGCAAGGAAAGAGCAGAAATCAGAGAATGAAAAGAACAGAACCTCTACCCCAAGAAAACTGGAAACCATGTTTACATTCATATAAAAAAATCAAAAAATAAAGAAAAAATAAGTCATGGTAGATAGAGAGATAAAAACTCTACTCCCAGTTGTGTCTCTGCTATCCCTAGTAGAGACTATGTAGAGACAGAGTCCAGATCCATGTTGATTTATCTCACCAAGCCAGCAGTCACTTTATGCTGAGGTGGTGTATAGACTCATCGAGCCTCAACTTTATTTTCCCCGAAGCTCAGGATGGTTTCTGACCTTGAGGCTGATACCAGACTTGTTCAGCCTGTAGCAGTCGGTAACATTTCTGTGGGCTTGAAATTAGGTGGGAGCCAGTACATGGAGGCACAGTTTTTCTCAGTCAGAAGCTCAGTTGTTTCCTCTGCAAAATGTCTCCTTCCCAAACACAGATGACCAAATCTGTATCACTCACCAGGCAGTGCAATCCACAGTCTAATGCACTTTGTGTGTCTGTGAAGGTCTCTGGGGTTGCCATCAATCACCCTGTGTTTTCACATTAGAAGTTTTCCTTCCCCAGGGTGAGTCCTGACACAGTGACAAGGCACTGCCCATCACTCGCAGTCTCCTCTTTATGAGCTCTGTAAAATCATCCCTGTGCTTTGAGCTCCTGGGCCAGATTAGTGTGTGGGTCATGCAGCATTTATCTTAAGGCAAAATTGAAGGAAGGATGCCAATATTCCTTGGGTCATCTGACTAGCATCTTGATTGAAGAATAAATAATACCAAAATTAATATAACAACTTCAATATGAAAAAACAGATTTCACACAAGAGAGCAACGTTTTAGATAAAGTAAAATATTGATTTTTAAAAATTTCAGTATATTTTGCTTAATAACTACAGTTATAGCTATTTTACACTGTGGCTATGTAGTATTTGAGGAACGATCTGATTGTGTGTGTTTGTGTATGAGTTTCTCTCTGTGGGTGTGTGCTTGTGTGTGTTTTGTCAGTAGTTGTATTCCGCGGCCAGAATATTCAGTGACAGCAGAATCCCATGCCTATAATGTCAGAGCACAGACAGCAGAGCTTCGGTGCGTATGCTCTAATAGACTGAAGATGAGGAGGATGGGAGGTGCCGTTCAAATGATGGGAAGAGCCCTGGGGATCCAGCGCAAGGAAGAAAACAAATGGTCTTGCACACTATGTTCCTTCTGAGGCTGTTTCCGACAGATGAAATAGGAATAACGGTACACTCGAGTCATCCAGTGACTCAGAGGTCCAATGTTGTGCGATAATCAATCTCTTCTGTAGTCATTAACCTGGTAACAGGATGGTGAATAAAATATTTCAGTATGTTTGAAAGAAGAAATCTGAGAAAAGATCTTCCTAGGAATTTGCAGTGCATGAGAATGACCAGTAGGGGGCAGCACGCGCACATTTCTTTGTAAAGTAAAAAGCTTCCACTTGCCTGGGAAAAATCTGATCCCAAGGAAGAAAGAGGAACAGCTGGGGCTCTATAGTAGTTTACACTGGTGCCCTACAGTATTTGCACAAGTGTTTGCTTTGGTGGGCGGGTACAGAAATTAAACTCAAGACTTTGAACTTGTCACATAGGCAAGGGGCCACTGAGCTGAGCTGTGTCCCCCGCCCTCATACACTTTTGTGTAGATTTTTTTAAACTTACATAACACGTAACCATTGCTTTATAAAAGTTATTTTAAGAGTCTTCCAACTACATGAGGAAAATCTCTGATTCTGGGGGAGAAAAGCGTCAATGAGGGCTTCATTGTATTTGTATCACTTCTCATCAATATTTGCACAACTAGGATGTAAACTTGCACATTATATTCTAAAAAAACAACGCTACACGCGAGGCATCGGGCTCTTCACAGCTTCAGTGCTCTGGGATACTGCAAAGGGATCTGCGCTTTTCAAAGCAGAGTGCAGGGGAGCAGAAACAGGCCCCCTGCAAGCCTGTGTCCTTGAGTTTCTGTTTGTGCTCAGATCCTGCTACAGTTCCTGTTACTTCAGTTTCTTAGAAAAGGCAGGTCACTGTGATGCATAGCTGGTCACTGGGATAAGTATTGCAAGAACCAAGCAAAGACAGCCAAGTGCTTTACCTCTGTATTTACACTTGGTAACCCCATAAAAATCTTTCTCCCTAAGCCGTTGTGGCTGACATTGTTACAGGGATTGACTCCTTGTCATTGACAATAAGTGCAAATAAATCTGCATCTGAATCTTGTGTGTTCATTTGGTTTTTCTATTTGCCATAGCAACAGCGTGGTAGAAACAAATTGAAAAGAATACAAAGGGAATGTTAGCAATTTTCCGTGAAACTTGTCCTTCAAAAGCTGACCAACAGGTGGCAGCAAAGAGTCATCTGTTTTACAAACAGTTTGGGAAGTCTTGCCATTTCCAGAAAGAGTTGTGATTTTCTAAGTGACACAGTGGTTCCGCCATTTATAACAACCTGCGCTGAAGGACATTTCTAAATTCAATCAACACTTTAATCATACATTTGTGAAAGAAAAAGAGATTCTTAAAACACTATCTTGACTCTAGGGTCTCAATTTCTCATCCTTCCTATGTGTCCCCCTGTCTCAGTGTCACTCTGTCTCTCTGCTTCTGTCCTTGTCTCTGTCAGTTTTCCCCTCTCTCTCTCCTTCCCACAGGTGACTCCTACTCTACAGTCTCCAATGTGTGTTTCCCCTTGTGTCCTGACTTCTGAGAATTGGGCTGCCTTTTAAGGACCAGTCTGTCCTCATCTACTTCCCCTCATTTCCTGGTGACCTCACCTCTATCCCTATATTTGCATCTCCAGTTCACATCACTTCCCAGAGCTCCAGAATCCCACATATGCAAGTGTTGAGTGGCGGTCTGGGGCCATCTCAGTATTGGAAATATGTTCCACTGCAAGCCCTTATTTCCCCTTGTTTCCCAGTGTTGCTTTTTCTGCCTTCCCATCGAGGGAGGCTTCATAGCAAATTATAAGCAGTGTTTGATTTGGTTTTCTGTCTCAGTTCATGTCCAGGATGACAGAAATTCTATTTCTTGTTACTTTAAAATATTACCAGAATGTACCCATGTTTCAAAAAATCTAGCACGGGGAAATAAAATCACATGATGACTTGGAATATGGCATTAGAGGAAATTTTTAGTGTCTACTTTGTAAGCTGTCTGGAAGACCATGAGGAGCAAACAGGCGTCAACACTGCCTATTATCAGTCTTCACTTGTCTCATGTTAAATATAAGTTTGAGGATAGCAGTTGTCACAGAAAGGAAGAAGTGGAGCCTATTGAGATTTACCAGTTTTCATGAGGATGAGGGGGAGGTGTGAGGTACCTGCTTTTATGCTGGAAGTATTAGTTCTGCATGTTTTGTTTGCCTATAAAATCTTGGAAACAAAGATCCTTGTGGAGACTAAAATTGCGTATGTGTTGGTGATGGGGAACAGAGGCAAAAATTTGCCATAAAATGCAAGACAAACTGCTACTAATTTCTGTGAGAAATTTTGTGAGGATTTGTTTGACCCCTGATTGGTAGCTGTATTCCTGGATATCACGAAATAGGGATCACTCATCCCCAGGTTACGATGAGGCCGAATCACAATTTAGTTGCTCAAGTTTGTCATGCTACATTGATTAGACAGATGTCACAGGACTGCCGTTACTTCAGGCCAGGATCTTTACTCACCATGGACTCCTAAGACCAAGAGCCATGAATGAGCATCACTTCCCAGTGATCCATAGAGTCATAGAATATCTAACATTGCAATAACGGAAGTGATCCCTTTAATTCTGTCATCCTGAAATGGGCACAGCATCCTGGGAATCCCAGATTGGCTGAACGGACAGTGCATGGGGATTGTATTCCACTGGATTTTCACATGATACGAGAAAGTGCAAGAGAAAGTATCTACCTTAGAATCCATTTCTACCTTGTTATTATTTTTAGCTAAATTCATGGTTAATTTGGTTTAGTTTTTTTTTTTTTCAATTTCATAAAACACCGAATGTTTAAGCCACTATAATCCTCTGGAATCTAGCTCCATCTTTCTCTCTCCGTGTCAGAGCCCTCAGCAGAGCACAGGTCTTGGCTGCTCTGCTGTTTTCCTCAGTCTCAGGCCCAGCCAGAGGCATCAGCTGCAACTTGCTGTTCTGATTCTTCAACCTCTTCCTCTCACACAGGGCAGGCTGTACTGTTCTTCTCCCCAGACAGCAGTGCAGGAGGGCAGCTGGGCCTACTCAGGCAGGGAGGTTTGTGTTCAGGGCTGTAGCACAGTGCGAGGAGCATGTGTACCTTGATAACAGTAATAAATTCCAGAATCTTCTGGTTCCACTTTGCTGATTTTGAGTGTGAAATCTGTCCCTGACCCACTGCCACTGAATCTCCCTGGAGTCCAAGATTCCCAATTGGAAACCCAATAAATCATTCCTCGTGGAGCCTGGCCTGGTTTGTGGACAACCCAATGCAAATAGGTGTTTCCATCACTGTCCAGGAGGCTCTGACTGGACTTGCAGGAGATGGAGGCCAGCTCTCCAGGTGTGATAGACAGGGAGAGTGGGGTCTGGGACAACAAAACATCTCCTGTGGATCCTAAAAGTATAAAGGAGAAATGCAACATCACATACAAACATGATGCGTTTTTATTCTTTTCTCTTTTTTGCAAATATCAAACTTAACTTTTTCGTATTTTAATATACAATGAACATTTCAATTTTGAGATAACTCCAATATCTAATAACGAGAATCCCTCTAGAATTCATCTCCTTATCCATATCTTTCTTTGTTACAATATTTATCAGTTGACTATTCCTGATTCTTTAGAAATTTTCTTCTTAATTCCCTGATGGAAATTCACACAGCCCTGCTTCAAGTCCGCGTTGCACATCTCATGTATGAACAGAACTCACCCAGGGAGCGGTGGGATCCAGAAATTCACCCTCTCGTCCCCTGCCCTTCCACATCTCCCGGTATCCGTACCGGGAGCAGTAGCAGCCCCAGGAGCTGAAGTGGTAGCTTCATTTTGAGAAACTGAACTGAAGAGTCCTGATCAGTCAAGGCACAGCTAGAGCCAGCTTTTATCTGAAACTTGCCTGGGTAGGTCCTCCCTGGGGATAAAATGCAAATTCCCTGGTGGGTGCAGTGGTGCAGAAAGAGTGAAGAGCATTGTGGGAGGCTTCTCATGTGAGCCCAGTGGTATAAATCGTCCTCTGTATCTGGGGGAAACAATAGAGCTAAAGTCCATGCTGTGTGCAGCATTGGGTACAAGGCTCCCTCGGAAAATCTACATCTGCAGCAAGGATACAGTGCTCAGGGCTCTGTCCATCCAGACAGTACTGCAGACCCCAGGATATGAGGGGTTTACAGGTCAGTCTCTGGGAAGGATAGTCTCATGCTCTTTACCCTCCTTGAAGGGAAAGACGCAATTCTTTCTTCATAAGAACTCATTTTAAATTTTTCTATCATTAATATCAAGTAGCAGAGCTGTGAAGTCCTTCTAGCCAGGTAAATGCTCATCATCTCGAAAAAAGATGAAAAACAATCTTTGTCTTCACCTAGAAATTAAATAGCATAAAAGCACTAAATCGAACGGAATGTGTACGGAGAAAAAATATCTGTCTTCCAGTTAGCAACCAGTAACTCTGTTGAAGGCAAGACTAATAGGAAAAAAATATGCCTTATATAGTGCACATAAAATTCTTCATAAGTAGATTTGGAAATTAGTAAATATCTAGTCTGTCGGTGTCACTCCTGGCCGGCAGGAAGGACACACAACAAAGTCTGGCAGTGGACAACCTTTTCTTTTATCTTCCTTCTCCGTACAGCCTGCCCCGGGAATCCTCCCGGCCGAAGCCTCTGTTGGTCCGCTCCCCGCGGCTCCTTGCGTGCTTCTTCCTACAGTCTGTCCCGAAGCCTCTACCGGTCCGCTCTCCGCAGCTCCTTGCGTGCTTCTTTCTGTGCTTCTCTGTGCTTCTCTGTGCTTCTCTCTCGTGGCGGGAGAGGCATTTACTTTTATAGGGTAACAGTGGCCAATCAGTTCAAAGCGCGCGATGCGGGCTGATTGGCTAACATCAGTTGTTGCTAGGCAGACTATCTTACAGGGCGGGTTGTTTACCAAGCAGGAAGCAGGAGATCTTACAGGGCGGGTTGTTTACCAAGCAGGAGATAAGCGCCATCTTAGCACACTCGATGGGAGGGGTAATCTAGCTCAGGCTTTGCTCTTTCCTACAGGCCTCACGTCCGCCAAGTAAGGCGACCGGGCTCGGCCGCGGCTCCCAACACTAGTCATGTTTCTCTCTCTCTCTCTGTAGATATATATATATATATATATATATATATATATACGTTTATATATTATGATATCTATCTATCTATCTATTTGTCTAATTTATTAAAACTTCTTTTTAAAATTTTATTTAAAGAAAGGCTAAACAAAACCGAAAATAGGTAGAAATAATATGTACGTTCAGAGGAAAAAATAAACAGCAAGAAATCACTTGTTGATGTTTACATATTGTCATGTTACAAATAGTTGTTCAAGATACAAAAATGGAACATGTAAAGTGGGAATTCAAATAGCGATACTGAAAACAGTTCTGTTCAACTGTCCAACAAAAGCTTAGTAACATGGTGGTCAGTCCTATACACTTAAACATACATGCAGTTATCCATATCTTCATTTATGCTTAGACTAAACAAAATAAAGCAGGTTAATGCCATTCTGAATAAGGAATAATAGTATTGCTGGATTTCACATTATGATACTCTGTAATCAGCACGGTACTGTAGTGTCTTTTTTTTTAATTATAATTTAAAGAAAGACTAAACAAAACAGAAAATGGGTGGAAATCATATATAATTTCATAGAAAAAATAAAAGAGTAAGAAATCACTAGTTGATGATTGTGTCTTACAAATAGTTATTTAAGATACTAAAGTAGATCATATAAAGCGGGGATTCAAACAGTGAGATTGAAGCATTTCTGTTCAACTATCAAACAAAAACTTAGAAACATGATTAATTAGTCTTATACACTCACATGCAGTCAGCCATACCTTCAATTATGTTGAGATTTAATAAAACCAAACAGGCTAATTTCACTCTGAACAAAGAATAATATTATTCCTGAGTCTCGCATTATGACACTCCAGGATCAGTACTGAGAAATTTTGTGTCTCTTTTTCTTCAAAATATCTGTTCATTTCATCATGTGTCATAAGATAAGTTCACATAAACTGTTTATAGATTCTAAACATGCATGATTCTTAACATGTATTCCTATCTTTTCTATATTAGAGGGAGAAACAAAACAAAGCAATTTAAAACATACATATTGCTATAAACACATGAAATGAAAGAAACATATAAGACCATTGTACAAAAGTTCTACCATGGTTCCTGTGTTGCCTCTTGCTGTCTCCAATAGAGTTGGCTATATCATTAGACCTAGTATAATTGTATATATCAGTACATAACAGTATTAATAAAAACATACATAACTTTGTACATAGTATAGAATTTCAAAAAGTGGCATTTATCAAACCAGAATGCGTATCGTAGAGTCTTGTCATCTTCAGTGTAGCTGCTTAGACTCCCAGACTTGATATTATCAATCATATCAGTTTTGAATAAAATCTTCTCTGCCTCATTTCTGTTATGCTTTTTTTTGCCATCAGTTGTCTGCTTATCTTCTTCCTTCTGTTTTCTGCTCCATTCATTGAAGGCTCTCTTTCATTATTCCTGGAATCCTAGTACTTTTCTCTCTCTGTAGAATGCCCTTCAGTATTCTCTGTAGAGTTGGATTGGTGCTTGTGAGCTTCCAAGTTTCTCTTTGTCTGGGAAGCATCGTGTTTCTCCATTAATTTCTAGAGACAGTTTAGAAGGGTGTATCAATCTGGGATGGAGGTTATTTTCTTTCAGGACTTGGAATATTTTGCTCCATGCTCTTCTTAACTTGATGTTTCATGTCAAGAAGTCTGCCATTGTTCTGATGGGCCTTCCTTTATAGGTTATCTGTTTCTTGTCTGTAACAGCTTTTAATATTCTGTTCTTATACTGAATTTCTGGGATCTTGATTATTATATGCCTGGGTGTAGCTCTCTTTTGGGTGTATGTGGCTATAGTTCTGTATGCCTCATATATCAGAATATCATATCCTTTTCCTATGTTTGGGAAATTTTCCTGAATTATTTCTGTGAATAACTCACATTCTTTATTCTCAAGTTATAGATCCTCTTGTTGTGTTCTAGCCTTTGTATTGTTATTGCTTGCTTCCTTGTATTTTTAAAAAGTTTTCCCTTTCATAATCCCACATTAAAATATTGTCCTCCAGTTCAGATACTCTATCCTTAGTTTCTTACAAGCTGATTTGCATCTTTCCATAGAGTTTTTAATTTCCTGGTAATCTCTTTCAATGTGCTTCATATATTCTATTTTTTATGTTCTTTATCAAATGGTTCTCTCCTTTGTTTGTGTTCTTCCCTTCTTCTATCTGTGTCTGCTTGAGGGGTGCTTAATATCTCTTTTATTAGTCTTCTTACATCTTGCTTTACTTGGCTAAATATTTCACTTTTGAACTCGTCTATGAGGTCCTGAATATGTCTCTTTATGTCTACTGGCACCGTGTGTGATATTGCATGTTTGATGTTCTCATTTCCCTTAGTATTTACCCTTCCTGGATCAGTGTTCTCAGGGTTGGGACCTGGGGACTTTTTGTTGTTGCTTCCTCTTCCCATATTTTTTACTTCTTCCAGGAGGCCCCAGTTTCTTTCTTTGTTGGTTGCAATTCTTCTGAAATGCACTTATTAGATGACCCTTCCCACTGCTGTGTGCTAGTGAGTTGCACACGGGGACAGCGTATGCTGGCCCTTCCCCTCTGGGTCATTCATGCTCCTGTGGCCTGCACTGTATTACTTTGCACTGCCTCCCCTCCAGGTCAGTCAAGCTGCTGTAGCCTGCACTGTATTACCCTGTGCTGCCTCCGCCTAGGTCAGTCATGCTGCTGTGGCCTGAACTGCATATTACTTTGCGCCGCCTCCCCTCTGGGTCAGTCAAACTTCTGAGGCTCCACTGGGTTAGTGTGGTTAGTGTGCACCACCACTGTAAGGACTTGATTTCAGATAACTTATTGGGTCTCAGCCAGATCATGTGACCCAGGCCTAGCTCACTCCAACAATCCTGTTCGGCAAGAGAACAACTGACTGAAGTCACTGCTGCCCCTTGTACTTGCCAGTCCTGCACAGCCCCAGAATGTCATCTGCTGGAGCCCCCTTTGTATGCAATGGCTCCCCTCCTGTCACTCACCACAGGTTGATGTAGGTACCCTGTCTACTCAGCTCTCTGTTCAGCTCACCGATCCCCAAACTCAATGTAAGTGTGCCTCCAGTGAGTCAAAGCAGTGGGACCTTGGACAGCTCAGCAAGTCGTGGTGGGACCCTGGATGTTTGGTAAGTCGCCTGCTGCAGCGGGAACACTGAACCTTTACTGTTCCAATAATAGCACCGGGATTGTATGTTTGGTTGGTTCATCTCAACTCAATTTCTTCTTGGGACAAGAGAATTCATCTCCTTCTATTTGGGACTCCACACACTGTATTATGTTGAATTCTAAGTTGACTATCTCAGGGAGCATCTGAGGCCAGTTGTTATCTATCTGCCATCTTTGCTCCTTCCCCTCAATCAAAACTTTTTTAAGAAAAAAATTTCTCTTGACTTTATATAAAGTGAATAAGGAATAATATATTATGCTACTCTTTTCTGAGTAATCATAAATCATCTTTTTCATTTCTACTTTTATAACAGATACAGAGCAGCCATGGTCCATAGTTTAAAGGGACATTCTAAATATTAGAATGGCACTATTGAATCTGATTTTTAATGTGCCAGTGTAATTAAAATCAGTGGCTGATATTTCCTGGACTTATGTAAGATGGTCACTGTGGAAAGAGGGTCACTTTCAGACTTTTCCTAAAACCATGAGAAAACGAAGCCATACTGATACCAGTCTGTAAGTACATGGTATGCTTTATGACAGCTCAAGAGCTGCAGTGTATCCTTACATATCTGAGAAACTGAGTTTATGGGAAAATAAGCGAATAAGGATTTTGTAATGTGTGCTTTTATTGTAAATAAAAGGATCTCTAGATGTGCTCATCATCATCATCATCATCATCATCATCATCATCATCTCTCTCTCTCTCTCTCTCTCTCTCTCTCTCTCTCTCTCTGTGTGTGTGTGTGTGTGTGTGTGTGTGTGTGTGTGTGTGTGTGTTTGTGCATTGGGGCTTAAGCCTGGGACATTCACAATTAGCCACACCAGTCTGTTTCATTTCCCAGATTTTGAGACTGCATCTCACTGTGCTGTTCACTCGCCCAGCTTCATCTCCAACTGTCTATTCTCCTGCCTCAGCCACCACTGTGTTGTGGTTACAAGTGTGCACCAAGTGTCTTGGATGATTTTACCTTCTGAGTGTGTGTGTTATTTCTGAATACTTCAAGAGGTGGAAAAGTTCACTTATTGGACCTGTCTGGACTCTTAAGGCCCTGTTCCTCATCTGTCTCACAGGAATCAGCAGTAAGTGAAACAGAAGAAAATAATTTCATCTCATCCAAATCCTGTGTATTTGGGGGAAAAGCAATAGAGAAAAAGTCTAAGTGGCATCCATCTCGGGAGCAAGGATTCCATTGTTACAGGCTGAGTCTCTATTGGAAGACAGTGCAAAGTTCTCTTCCCCAGTAGGAGAAACCACCCCGACATCACAATTACTGCTCATCAGAGCAACTTTCTGCTAGTAACACTGTGGATCTAGGAAACATTTCTAGCAACTGTCATTTCCAGGTGAACTACTTTGATGTTAGAAAATGTGTTCCCCCGTAAGCTTCCTGGCCCAGTGATTAATCTCCCCTTATGGAGATTTCAAAAGGATTGGAAGGCAGATTTTAAAAAATGCTTAGTTTAGCTAGGGAAGTAGGTGTCCTGTTGAAGACAAGTGGAGAAGGGGAAAATGATTGTGCCTTAGCTAATAAGTATGCAGTTCCTGGGCGGTGGTGAATATACTGTCCTAGCTATCTCCACATGGAGATATTAACTGTAAGTCTGAATACATGTTAACATATTTATGTGTGTATTATAAATATTTATGTGCAGAAATGTATCCATATATAAGTATTTATATATTAATTTGTATTTATATACACACATGAGTGAATACACACCTATAAATGTGTACACATAGCTATATATAAATGCATATGTGTACATACTCACTTATTAAGTTAATTAAAATTGTTCTTAGGGAAGTGAGTCCTTTAAAATCTATTTTTGTTTGGGGCATTTGAGTCAGGTTCTCACTTTGTAGTTTAGGCTGGCCTTGAGTTCACTGTGTTGCCCAGGCTAGGATCAAGCAGGTCAGCCACTCATCCTGGTTCCATCAGAAACTGTTGGCTCACTGCACAGATAGCTTAGAGTTTGGGGTCTCTCTTCAGTTCATTGAATGTGGGTCTGGAAGAGATTTCACTGTTGCCATCATTAACTTCTAATTTGAAGATATGGCACATAATGACTGTCAAGAATGTTGTAGTGATTCTCCATATGTGACTCACCCTGGAGGACAAACTCATTTTAGTGTCTGTCTTGCTATTTGCTTACCATGTGACACAGGAGTTGCACTCTCTTTGTCTACATAAAGAGTCTGCCCATTCCTCCTGATAAGAAAGGTGACAGCGTTCAGCAGAAAATTAAATGATTGGTGTCCCTTACATCCTTTATTATGGAAGAGTCTTACAGGAAAACTCAGTAAAGACATTCACATTACTTTTTTATTTGTACAGTAAGACTTTGTATGCAATTATGTCTTGAACATTCAAAAGTCATCATTTTACAGTTCTGGAGGTCATAAGTACATCTCAGTCCTTAGTGTGATAGAGCCAGGATGCTGTCAGGATGAACTCACTCTGGATGATCTAGAAGGGAATCTGTGATTCTTCAGCTCCTAGAGGTGTGCCTGAGACTGTGTCCCTTACCTTTCCATCTGTCAGAATTTTATCTCCCGGCCCCTCTCTAGGCTGCTCCTGTGTGTGCTGCCTCTTTGTGTGCTTTCCAGATGTCAGCACTGAAGATCCTCAGTCCACAGGAATTAAGGGTTCCCCAGATATTCTACTTCACAGTCAGTTAATTTCAAATTAAAAGAAGTCTGTTTCTGAAGAAGAAAAACTTGCAATGTGCTAACTAATTCCATTCATGCATCCACTTTCAAATGGAAATAAGCACTGACTGTACTTTGAAGCATAGAAGCGATGAAGATGAGTCTCATGGACCACTTGTAATTGTTGAAGTTCTGCACTGGATCTTCAAGTTGTCTCTCTATGAAGTGGCCTTTCTTTACTTGCTTGGTATGCAGGTGTTTACTGCGATAACAGACATGTTGAATGGTATCAGGTAAAGCACCTGGTGATGTGGGCGGTGCCATGCACAGATGTAATGGGGATGCACCAAGATGAGAGCTTCACCTACACTTGAGAAACCCACAGAATTATGAAAACAAGGATAATTGATATATATTCTACAAAGCTTAAAACAACCTTTTCTATAGAGAAAAACAACAATTCAAATAGTTTGTGATGTTCTCATTACAGGAAAGCTGCATATGAACATGTGAAACATCCAGAGAGTTTATGCAGGGGTAGGCAAGCAGTGAGTCTTAGGTGTGTTTGTGGTGAGTGAACAGAGTGCACCCTGGAATGTCTAAGGATGCTGGACCTGCTCTAAAGACCAAATAGGTTTTTGAAGATGTATGTGTGTGTGTGTGTGTGTGTGTGTGTGTGTGTGTGTGTGTGTATGTATGTATCAAAATCAATAGAAATATGTCCTGAAATGTTTACTTTTCATAAACATAAATTTTAATACTACATAACTATCCTAAAAGGAAAAAAAGTCCCATGACCGTGGATATGCTCTAACACTGAGCTTCTTGGACCCCAGTGCAAAGAAAGTAAAGTATTATGTTATAGATTTCTCATTTGTGGAAGAATTCCTGTTCTTAAATCTGGCTCATTGTTTTTGTAGTGCAAAATTTTGAGGATCATGTTTCTCTCAGGGAATTGCATGGGAGTGTTAAGAACTGAGTTGAGTAATAGTCTTAACTATAATTTCGTAGACAATGCAAAAGTAAGATCTACATGGTATTTTGCTCTACAATTGGAGACAGTGCATACACAGTGTTAAATGGTGAGACTGGAATATGGACCTGAGCTCATGTGCAAAATCTCATCAGTGGACAGAGTGTGGTCTCCCAACAATGAGCCCTAATGTCACTTGATTTGTGGACTTCCTAAGCCTCGGGTGATGTGAAGGTCCTGAACCTGTCTGAGAGCTGATTAGAGCATTTCAAGAGCTGAAGTCTTCATTTGCTGGCAAAAAACTTAACAATCCTGATGCGTGAATGCTTGAGGGTATCTTTCTCTGGCCAGAGGTTTTCTTCCCAATGGAGGAGGTGTGGAGGAGATCTCATCAGATGCAGCATGACATCCCCAGCTGTTCATCTTAGCCATCCTGTGTAAGTCAAGGAATTGTCCCCAATGCTGTGATTTTTCATTTGAATGTATGAATGATCCATCTCTCATATGAAACACAAAATAATGATAATAAAAATAATTCACCCAAAATAAAGAAATACATGAAATCAGCTATGTTCTTAAAGTTTTCAGTGATTTATTGCTGTGGTCCCCAAGACCCAAGCCTGGTTGCCATCCTTGGCTGCTGAGTTTCGAATCTGGTATAGAACCCTGAACACTCCTCATGTCCTGATCCATGTCCACAGATTCAGAGGAGACTGGTCTGGTGATGGATGAAGATGGGAGCTTTCTTCTATCTGTTTCTTCTGTTTGTGGATATTTAAGAGTGAAGCCAGGCTCTCAGGATCCTAATGAAGCACTCTGCCACTGAGCTAAACCTGCAGTCTTGGAATTGGGACTTTTCTGAGCTCTGCAAAGAGTTCCTGTGTGGTCTGCCCTGCCTGCTCTCTACTGACTAACTGTACATCTTACCAGACCTGCTTTCTCCCAATGTCTGTTCCCTTGGCCTGCTTTTTACCCATGGATTGCTGAATTCTTCTCCTCCTCACTTCCTTGCCAGGTGCCATTGCCCCTGCTCATCAGGCTCCCCATTGTGACTCTGACCCTGATGAAAGTGTGGTGGCTCTTTCACTTATAAGGTGGTATCTGGAAGTGGAGCATTTAATCATGACCGTTGTGATCAGGTGCTGGGTTGAGAGCAGGAGTATAAGCGGATATCACAAGATCATTAGCCCACATTAGACACTGGGTTTTGTGTAACATGGAGAATGGTTTGTGTTCTGTACTTGGCTGGGGTAGGGTTGTGTGTGAGGTTGGATTCTTATGACTAGAAGAGCATGTGAGGAAGACAACAGAAAGGATCTTGCACAAAAACTGTTCTGTGTGAGCCTGTTTTCAATAATTGGACAGATTAAATGTACAGAGCTTCCTCAAATATCTGTGCTTGGTGGAAAGACAGCCTGTTTAACAGATAGCATTAGGAAAACTGGCTACACAGTGAGAATATTCAGCCTAAACCTGTATTTCTCATCATACAGTAAAATATAATAAATATGAATCAAAAGCCTGGACTTTAATACAGAAGCACTTAATCTTCAGGTAGATAATAATATAGATAAAATTTTGAGGGCATAAGAATAAATAAAGCCTTTTTGAACAGAACCCCAGTGTACCAGAAATAACATCAAGAAACAACAAATTAAATTATATTAAATTAAAATGCTTCTGTGTAGTTAAAGATGCAGCTGAAAGAGTGAAAAAACAAAATGTAGAACGAGGAGAATTCTTTGCCCCATGCTCATTAGGAAGGAGATTAATGCTGACAACATGTAAAGAACTCTAAAATAAACAGACCTCCTAAATAAGAGTCAATCAAAAATGGGTAAATGAAAGGGCCAGAGAGTTTTTAGAAAAAGAATAATAAGTTTTTAGAAGAAGAACAATAAGTTATTAGAAGAAGAAGAATAAATGGTAAATATATAAAGAAATTTTCAGTATTACCAGCTCTGAGAAAAATGCAAATTAAAGCAACAGTGAGGTTACATTTTCTCACAGGAAAAATGGCCACCCTATAGAAATCAAATAGCACGAAATATTGGTGAGGCTGTGGGGAAAAATACACTCTTCTGTTTGGTTGGTAGAGATGGAAACTAGTACAACCAGCATGGATCTCTATATGCAGAGCCTGCAAAAACCTAAAAATAGAAATTCAGCTTGACTCCACTCTTCTGGTTCTAGTTATTTTCCACAAAGGGTTCAGGACATCTAATTACAATGATTCATTCACAGCCATGTTCAGAGCAGCACAACTTATAAGCACTCAATATTGGATGCAGCTCATAACTATGGACAGATGAATGGATATAAAGAAATGTACTTACACAGTGGAGTACTCCCAAGCCATAAAAATGAATGAGTCATTTGTACGAAAATGAATGCAGCTTGAGACCCTTATGTTAGATGAAATATATCAACACACAACCATACATATCCCATTGTTTCTCTTAGATGTGAAATCCAAAGTATTAATAGATTAAATAGCAAAATAAGACAGATAATACAAAATAAGCTGCTAAATGCTCTGCAAATTGATAGGGAAACTAGAGAGACAGGGAAGAGAAGATAAAGGTTGCAAGAGGAATTAAAAATAATTAAAATGTGTTATGTACATAATGCCAACTACCCACACTGTACATAGAAGTACAGCAAGTGCACATTAATAAACATAACATATGACAATACAAGCTTAGACCTAAAAACATTCCACAAAGTGTTTAATGTTCTACCTATTAAATCACATACTTATTTTCTTGATCCTGGCTTGATGACCCGGTGTATAGGAGAGTGTAAGTGCTACCCAGGCGGAGGGGATACCAGGAAGCAGGAAAGGATGGCGACAAAATAAGGATCATTCAACTTCTCTCATGTCAACCCCAATATGTGATGAGGCAGAGTCACAATTTAGATGCTCACCTTTGCCTTGCTACATTGATGAGAGAGATGTCACAGGACTAAAGTTTCTTTTAGCCAGGATCTTTAATCACCATGGAGTCAGTAAGACTAAGATCCCTTCAAGAAGCATCACTTCTCGATGATCCATGGAGTCTCAGGAGCTCACTATTGCCAGCCCTCAACTTTGCTATTCTGAGATGCAGGAAGCTCTCCAGGAGCTGCAGACAGGCTGAGAGAAGCATGGTCACCAATATACCCATTGGATTATCATGTGGTATAAAGAAGGTGCAATATCGATTATAAATCATAAGACACTACAATTTAATAGTCATTTTAGGCTAAATTTATTGTGTGTCTTGTTTGGCTTTATCCATTTTCTTTAAAAAAAATACCCAGAAATTTGAGGGCTCAAAGGAACCCCTGGAAGAGAGTTTCAGCCTTCTCTCTGTGTCAGAGGCCTCAGCAGAGCACAGGTCTTGGCTGCTCTGCTGTTTTCCTCACTCTCAGGCCTGGGCAGAGGCCTCAGCTGCAACTTATTGTTCTGATTCTTCAGTCTCTTCCTCTCATGCAGAGCAGCCTGTGCTGTGGGTCTCCCCAGGCAGGGAGCTTTGTGTTTGGTGCTCTAGCACTGTGGGATGAATATATAAATCTTGCATACAATAATAAACCCCATCATCCTCAGCCTCCACCCTGCTGATATTCAGTGTGAAATCTGTTCCTGACCCACTGCCACTGAACCTGTCTTGGGTCCAGGATAACTTTTTGGAAAACAGAAAAATTATATACCTTGGAGCCTGGCCTGGCTTGTGCACCACCCAATTCAAATAGGTGTTTCCATCACTATGTAGGAGGCTCTGATTGAACCTGCAGGAGATGGAGGTCAGCTCTCCAGGGCCACAGACACAGAGAGTGGGGTCTGGGTCATGACAACATCTCCTGTGGATCCTAAAATGATGAAGGAGAAGTGAAATATCAGGAAGGAACATTATGAGCCATTTTGATAGATTTCTGTTTTATCATTATCAAGTGAAGTTAGTATCTTTATTTTAAAGTGCAGTGGAAAATTTTCAAATTTGAGATTGTATCCAAGGTTTTTAATCACAAGGTTCCCTCTAGAATTCATCTGGGCAGCCCTCTCATTCTTTGAGGCAATCTTCATGAGAAGCCTGGTCCTCAGTCCTTCAGGAATTTCCTTCCCTCACTGATCTAAACTCACACTCCCATGCTTCAAGTCAGGGATGTGCATCTCATGTATGTACTGAACTTAGCCAGGCAGCAGATGAACCCCAAAACTCACCCCCTCTCTCCATGCCCCTCCTCATCTCCTGGTGTCCTTACCAATGATCCAGAGCAGTAGCAGCCCCAGGAGCTGAAGAGGGAGCCTCATTATGAGAATTGGGACTGAAGCATCCTAATCAGGTAAGGCAAAGCTAGAGCCAGATTTTATGTGAGACTTGCCAGGGAATGTCCTCCCTGGGGCAAAATGAAAATTCCCTGGTGGGTGCAGTGGTGCAGAAAGAGTGAAGAGCATGGGGGGAGGCTTCTCATGTGAGCCCAGTGGTACAAAATCTCTTCTGTATTTGGAGGAAAACAATAGAGCTACAGTCCATGCTGTGTGCAGCAGTGGGTACAAGGAATTCTTGGAAAACCTGTGTCTCCATAAGGGACACAGTGTTTAGGGCCGTGCCCATTCCAGACAGGACTGTGGTCCCCAGGATACAGAGATATGTGCAGATCACTCTCTGGGAGGGGAAAATTCATGTTTCTTAGCCTGCATCTTTTGTCCATGCGGATGTGAAGTTGAGATCTGTTTGTGATGAGGTAAGCCTAAGCAAAAAGTGCTTCAGGGAACCTGCAAAATATACGAGGTGCCAGATCTGTCCTGTACCTGAAATACAGGGGTAAATATACAGCTGTGATTTCCAAAACTAGAATAAGCTAAGGGGAACCTGCCCTCACTGATGATTACCTTGGCGATGACCTGTGTGGTGCACAAGATGATTCCTCACCATTCTCTTGGCTGATTGCTGTTCTGTTATGGCAAGCAAAGCAGCAATAGGCAGATTAGGACAGTCAGATTTTGAGTGTGTGCGTGTGTGTTTGTGTGTGTGTGTGTGTGTGTGTGTGTGTGTGTCTGTGTAGTTTTTATTTTCAAGATAACATGGTAGAGAAGATTGAGGATAGTGTGTGGTGACTGTAAGACAGAAATTGTTTGAAATATCTGGAAACTATCACTCCAGTGATGATAAAGAACACACATTTATAGCATGTGATACCTTCCTGTGGCCACTTGGAATCCCTTCCCATCCTCTCTCCCATATGGTTCTTCGCCTTTTCTCAATATGAGGAAGGTGCAACCTTTCTGCACATAGTCTTTTCCTTGTTTGAAGGCCAAATACAATCAGTGTGACCTTGTCAATGATAGGGAAAAGACACAGCCCAGCACCTCAGTCCACACCATGTGAGAGAGTGCACTTGTGCTGGACTCAGGAATGGACCACTTGAAACTTCCAGCTGAACTGAGTTGCATGGCTCTGGGTGCGGCACACCTAACTGAGGATTACTACCAACAACATCAAAGCAGAACTAAAGGGGAAGATGCTGTTTTTCTCCTGGTGAAGGTTTTCACACTGGATTTCCTGATACGAACTCACTTGTCCTCATTGTTAGAGGAGCTCCTGTCCTCCCTGTCACTGAGGACAGCTGTGGTTCTTTTCAAGGGAACTGGGTCTTTCCACTCAGTGTGGCTTCCTGGCTCCAGTGCAGAGGCCCACATCTGCTGGCATTGGTCCTTCACCCTTCTGGGTAAGTCTTTCTGGTTTCCACCACTGATCTTTGGGCTACTGAGTGCAGATCCTTGATGCAGACTTGTATGATGTATTGTCATGTCCTCTAAGCATTAGCTGGATATGAGTGGACTCTGTCATGGGCTCTAGGTATATAACTGGACAGGTGGAGAGCATTGCTGTGAGACCCAGCCCTTAGCTGGGTTCTATGCATGTCTAGTGTGTGGATGGATCTCCTGCATAGTTTTTCATTTGAAACTTTGGGTGCATATGATAAAATATTGCTGTAAATTATGTGTCCTGTGTTAATTCCTTTGCTTTGCAGACCCTGAGAATTACACCAACTTTTATTGTCTATATAAAAGCCTAAAGCCAGCTGGGTAGACTGGCACATTCCTATAATTCCATTTGGGTTTTGGGGCTACTTGGAGAAATTAAGAAGATTATTTTGAAAAATATTGGAAAACACTAAGGCTGTCAGTCAGGGTGAGTACATTTACCTGAGCTTACTGGAGGCTCTGGACTCCATGCCCACGACCAACAAAGATTTGTAAGGTCTTATCTCTCACCATGGTCCCTCAGTAGGCAGATTATTAGCTTCACGGTGAAGAAATATGGGTGTCATCAAATCCTTCACTCAGCAAGTGAGTATACTTGCTGAGGATAACTCAATAACACTTTGAGTATTTTCATCCACTTATTTGGATCAAAGGAAAAATTTTGAATTTCTTGTAATAAAAGACAAACACCTGACATCCTAAATGCCATTTAAAGTAAGTCAAGCAGTTCTACTCTAAAAAGATCAGAAGACTTATCTACAATTGTCTTGCTTTTCTTAATAAAACGGAAAACTATTTTACAAAGTTAAACTGTGCAGAACAAATTTCTTTTGGAATTTTCTGGGGGCGCACATTATGGTAACTGCCACCTCCATCCAAAAATTTTAGCACTCAAAATGAAAATTCTAGTTGTTTACACATTTTTAAAAATTCATTGCTTGAATTAGTTTTTCCAACTCCCAATTCTGGTTGGAGCATGTTGCTATGTGTATTTTTTACTGTTTTCATTCATACTTGAATTATGAATTTTTTGGTCTTTGTTGATATAAGATTTTGCTGTGCAGTTCAGGTTGGCCTGGAACTCATTTTGTGGTCTAGGATGACTTAGAACTTGCAGTGACCCTACTGCCTCAGCCTCTCAAATGCTGTTTTATAGGCAGTTGCTCCAACACCTGGCTCAAATTTTGAATATCGACAATTTCTGACCTTGTGGTCTTTTGTTCTTAAAGTATTATCTATAAACTATTTACATTGTGAGTTATCACTGAATGATGCCAACTATTGCCCATCATTGTTTCTTTTTGTGTCACTAATCCATTTATTTTTTCCCTTTTGATTTATTTTTAATTTCTTGTGTTGCTGGTTTGCTGGTCATGAATTCCCTTAATGACTCCTTGTCATGGAACTTCTGTATTTTTTCCTAAACATGGAAATATATTTTGGTAGGATATTATAATGTGCATTGAAATGCTTTTGAACTTGATAACTCCTCTAGCCTCTCCTGGCTTTAAAATTTATTTTAAGAAATCTGCTGTTGTTCTGATAGGTTTATCTTTTGAAGTTACTTGATATTTCTCTCTAGGGGTTTTTAGTATTCTTTCTTTGTTCTGATTTTCTTTGATTTTTTCTATAATGTGTTGTGGAGAGATTCCTTTGTGAACGTATCTCCTTGGGGTTTTAAATGCCTCATTATCTGGATGTTCATTTCAGTGTCTAGATTTGAAAATTTTCTGCAATAATTTTGGGGAAAAATGTTTAGAACTTTCCTTTGTTTCTTCAGTCTTTTATTGACTTCTGTACTGCTCAGTTTGTGTCTTTAGAGTCATTGATGAACTCTAAGATCGATTTTTCATCATTTCTTTTGTTACAAGAAGAATCCCTGAGATATCTACTACACCCTTCCTGTCCTGAAGTTCTGGTACTTTCTCTTCTAATTGGTCATGTATTCTGGCACGGTGCTCAGCTGTGCTTTTCATTTCCAGGAACTGTGCTTTCTTCATTTTTACAACCATCAATTATTTCCTAGGTCATTAATTCATATTCTGAATTGTCTTGTGGCATTCAGTCAGCTGTCTGTGTCTTCTTGAAGGCTGCCAAATGTCTTATTAATTAAAATGTTCAGCTTGTTTACATCCTGTTTGAGCTCACTGAACATGGTATGCATTTTCTTCTTTGATTTCTCCAAACATTTGACCATTTGGTTTCTGAGTTGCTTCCTGGACACTTTCTCCACTTTATTGACTGCCAGATAGATTTTTAGGAGTTACATCCTTTTTAGGCATCTTATTGAGTTACTTGTTCTATATTCCTGTTTTTATCATAAATGTTGTAGATCAGTTGGGCTAGAAACTTCTGCTGTTAGAGATAACCAACAGCAAACTGCAAAGAGAAGAGTTTCTGATAATATCTACCTGAAAAGAACATTAAAGAGTTTGAGAAACAGTGGCATTAGGTCCTCTCTAATTTTTTTATACAATTCAGTGTGAACCATATGGGCTTTCAGATTTATTTATTTGTAGGTCTTTAATTACATCTTCAATTTAATCAACTGAAATTGATTTATTTAATATTCATATCTTGTTGATTCAGCTTTGGTAATTGCTATATCAAGAAATCTGTGTATTTCTACTCCATTTTCCATTTTACTGGCATGTAAGCTGTTGAAAGAGGTATGTATTCTGGGAGATCAGTTGCCACTTCACCATTTTCCTTCCTAATTGCATGGATTTGAGACTTTTCCTTCTTTCTTTTGATTACTCTGGCTATGGATTTTTCCACCCTGTTTAATATTTCAAAGAGCCAATTTTTGCATTCATTGATTCTTTGCATTGTTTTCTTAGTCTCCATTGCATTAATTTCTGTTCTGACTGAAAGTTTCTTACTTCATGTGATCTTAAATCTGACACGCTCTTGTTTTTCCTTAAGCTAGATGTTCAGCATTATGTTTTCTCTGTGAGCTTACTCTGTTTTCCTGATGTGGGTTTTCAGTGCTATAAATTTTCCTCTTAGGACTGTTTTCACTGTGTCTCATAAATTCTGGTATGTTGTATTGCCATTATCATTTAATTGTAGAAGCTGTCTAATTTCTTTTTAAATTCCATCTTTGACTCACTGGGTATTCAGCTTGGTGTCATTTAATTTCCACGTGTTTATGAACATTTTTTTGCCTTTTTGCCTTTTTATCGGTACCAGGGATCAAACTCACGACTGCCTGCTTGCAAGGCAGGTGCTTATGCCGCTGAGTTAAATCCCCGGCCCCTGAACTTCTTGTGGTTTCTTTTTTTTTCTACCTGTAGCCAAACTCAGAGTCTTGTATTTGCCAGGAAGGTCCTTATATACTGAGCTATATCCATGGACCAGCTGTTTTGGTTTCTTTTTAAAATTTTTAAAAAGATACTAAGACAAAACAGAACAGAACAATGTAAGCAACACTGTACTTCACCACTAGACAACATGATATTAACAGTAGTACCATTATGTCTCTTTCTTTGAAATAGTTGAGCACACCTTCACATACAATAGTATCAAACGTAACAAAATAGTTTAAAACCATTAAAGAGAATGAAAGTATTACAGGGCATGCAGAACCAAGTAATAGAGAATGAACAACGGCTACTATATTGTCTCATTGTCCAAAAAAATTAGTTTATATTATCACGCATATTTAAAATCCAGTAAGATGCAACATAATAGTACC